GCTCTTCTTTCTATTGCTGCTCCATTCTGGAGGGGGTGGGGCTGCATGAAGCACAGGAGAAGGGGGAAGGAGTGGAAAACTGGACGGAACCCTTCCCTCCTCCATGTCCCATGTCCGAGGTCTGGATGGTGCCAGAGTAAGAAAGATGAGAGGAGAGATGACTTCAAAGTCTTAATCACAATTAGAGGGGACTTTGAATGGGCTTTAAATCTGGAAGTTGAGGAGAACGTTTTGAGATCTGCTTGGATTATTATAAAAATGGAGAAAGTAGGATTAATGGAGTAAGTTTCCTTGCTGGAGTAAAGATAATAGGAGAGCCATTTTATGTTTTTTATGTACCAGACTTAAAATATCCCATAACTGGGGACACATTCAATGGACCACAGTTCCTAACTAGATGGAGGGAAAGATGGCCCTGATGACTAGAGTCTTATTCTTTAGGGTTTATTTTCCTGATTATTTGCAAAATATTCCCATCAGGCCACATGGAGATCTCATTCAGTGTTAGAAAGCCCATAATTGAAGTACCGTGTAATAATCTCTATTCATCCTTAAATTTCCCCTATATAAGCTTACATGACCAAAAATCAATTTATTCTTGATGAAGTTTTCCTCAAAATGTGATCACTTAATTTCTGGGTCAATATTCAGATTTAATATCCAACACTAAAAAGTAGTGTGGCTCCTTTGTCAAAGATGAGGTGGCTGAGTGTGTCTGGAGTTGTTTCTGGAGCCTAACAGAACATTCTTGAAAGGGGGCAGAGCTTAACAGAACATTCCTGAAAGGTCACCCAGTTCAAACAGCTGCAAAACATTTTGATCCTTTGGGCACGAGCACTGCCCAGCAGCACAAAGTGTTTACATTCCTGGAACAAAACATTCTGAGGGAAAAAAAATGGAGTCAAGGCAAGTGAAAGGCAAGGGCTATCTTATTGTGTATTGTTGCTCTATCACCAGACCTACATAATGAGACCTTGCCCCCCAAAAAAGTAATTTCACGTGAAACCTTATTAACATATACAACTGATACATGTTAATATTTTTTTTTAAATGTGTTTTCAAGGTGCCGGGGATTTAGCTCAGTGGTTCAGCCGCCTGCTTGCAAGCGCAAGGACCTGAATTCGATCCCCAGTAGCAAAAAAAAAAAAAAAGTGTTTTCAAAATAACAAATGAAAAAATTATAGCCATTAAACTCAGACAAGCATAAAAAGAAAACCAGAAAGGCTCCCAGGAACAGGGACCAGAGTGATCTAACTAGCTTAAGACAAAATGGATCATCAAATATCACATGATTACCTCATGTCCTAGAAGGCAGTGCAGAAAGGATTTTAAAGTTCTGAGAGATTTCTTTCTGAACCAGAATTCTAATTCTACTTACAAATATAATGACTGGGAAAATATTATAGGGTCCTTCATAACTAATTCAAAAATGAATGTAGTATAGTTATACTAGAGCAGGAAATAGAAGGTCCTGTACCTATCGACTCAGGCCAAAATGGTCTAAGGGAGGACAGTTGAGGCAAAGCTCACACAGGAGAGGTTGCATACGACCTCTTGTTGGAACAGTGAGGGTAACCTCCAGGCTCAGTCCTGGCTCTGTGGTCATCCAGGTGCAAGAGCATAATCAGCCACCTCTGTCATCACAAGCCTGACTCACATGACTGAAGACACATCCTGCATCTACAAAAGGATGCTTGAGCTCATTCTAGAGGTATCTTTTCATTCCAGTACTTTGTGTGTCTGTCATCATAGTATGATGATTGCTTGACAAGGAGAATGTGGGAAAAATAATGTTCTTAGTTTGCACATTTTCTGTCCCTTGAATTTGAAATCCAACAACCTACATTTAGAGAGGGAGGCTCTTTCCAGAAGGCAGTTCAAATAAAACTCAGGATGAGCCATCTGGCTCCTAAAAAGTGAGGAGCTACATAAAAAGGCACTCAGAATCTTTTTCTTTTAAAATTTTCTGCATAAAAAATAAAGAAAAATTTCCAAGATATGTTTAAATACATGAGGTACTAAAGGTACATAACATCATAAACTTGATCACAGTTATTCATAAAAATTACCTGGCATCTACAGAAAAAAGTTACATGCAATTTGAACAATATTTAGTGAAATGAAGCATGTGAGTGTGCCAGTGTCATTTGAGAACAGGTTCAAAGGAATCAAATGACCGTAGCATAAAATAACAAGATGATGGTTTCACTTGGTGTGTGGACCAATCTTGCCTTACTACTTACAAAGCGTATTTATCTGAATGATCCTCCTTTGAGTCCTAAGGGGAAAAAGTTTGGACAATAAGAACACTTTTCAGTGTAGTACATAGGAATGAGTGAATTTTATCGATTAAGTTGTGGAATCATGTCAATTATTCCTTCTGATGTCTGTGTCTTTCTACAGAGCTTTGTTAATACTTTCTATATGATAATCAAATTGTTCTTCTGAATTAATTTATTTAAAAATTGTTCTCCAATAGCTCAAAGCAATCTGACTTCCACGGCTGGCCTCATTCTCCTTTGGAGGGGAGGAATATTTTAAAGTGACCTTACTTATGCTCCAAATCCCATGGTCTGCACATCTGTTCCATGATTAGTAAACTCTGAATAGGTGTGGTTATTTAAAATGCTAGTTTTCTTTTCCATTGCAAACAAATAAACTAATATTATAATTAATATATCTATTTCTTTTTCAAAGCTCTAAAATTCTCTTTTGGAAATGTACATCTGATGCCCACGCGGACTTCCCCTGGCTTCTCTGAACAAAGGGCCAGCACATCTCAAAGTTTCTCTCAGTTCCATTCACATTCTATTAGGAAAACAAAATAAAAAGAATAGAGAGATGATATATGCTGGGGCTGAACTATTATAAAGAAACAGACACCAGGAATTAGAATTTAAAATAAACTATATCAGGTCCTTAAAAATATTCTCTTAAATTTTCTAGAGGATACTACAAGAAAATGCTTTCTAACCAGATAAAGACGGGACAGGTCAGAGAAGCTTACAGCCAGGACCACAGAGATAAAGGGCAGAGTTGGCACTGAGGTCATGTTCCGTCCATTACCATTAGGTTTAATGTAATATTTACCAAGGATTAATGCACCCACATGATACCTGGATTCCATTTGTGTCAAAGTTGAGGTATAATTCAATTATTTCACATTAACACATTTTGTATGTGGATGACTTTCCTTTTCCCCTTGATGAATCTGTTGTGAATCTTGTCAATTTCCCAATCAAAAACAAGATCCTACTCAGGAAACAAGCTTATTGAGGAGGAATTCGCTCTCAAAACTTTGCCAGTGACAGTTATTTTGATGGCTTTTTGAAACCAAGGGTAAAAGAAAGCATAGATCAAGGGATTCATTGCTGAGTTGTAGTAAGCGATCCAAACTAATATCTCATACACATATGTGGGTGTGATGAAACCCAGGAAGGCATCGATGATGGAATCAATGAAATATGGCAACCATGAAATCAGAAATGCTATCACTGCTATTCCCAGGGTTGTTGCAGCTTTTCTCTCCCTCTTGGCCACCCTGCCTTTGTAGCTGTCTGATGATTTTGCAGTCATATGGCTCAAACTTTCAATTTTCCTAGCCTGTTGTTTAGCATTGAGGAAAATCTTTGAATAAACTATTATCATCACAAGTGCAGGGATGAAAAATAAGGAAAAACTGACCAAGACCCAGTTTTAATTCACTGCAGCCTGACAGCCTCCCACACAGGTGACAGCACTCACTAATTCCTCCAGCTCAGCTTCATTTGCCCCTGTGTAAAGAAGGGAAAAGCAAAAAGCAATGGGTAGCAGCCAGGAGAAGGAGATACACATGCCAGATACAGAGAAGGTGAACCTGGTTGGATAGACCAGAGAGTCAGTGACAGCGGTGTATCTATCAATGGAGATAAAGCACAAGTGGAAGATAGAAGAATAACAGAAGGAGCCATCAAAACAGGAGGGGAATTTACAATAAGCATCCCCAAAGTACCAGCAGCTCTCCACAGACCTGACCATGCTGAAGGGCATCACAGTCGTTCCCACCAAGAAGTCAGCACAGGCCAGAGAGGTGACCAGAAAATTGGCTGGGGAGTGGAGCTGCTTGAAGTGCAGCATTAAAGTCATCACCAGCAGGTTTCCAAAGACAGCCAGCACAGCCCCAGAGCCAAACACCAGGTACAGAACCAGGCGGGGTCCTGGGGAGTAGGGAGCTTTGACACAGGATCCATTCCAGTTCTCATAGCACAGCTGGACAGCTGCAGGAGGGGTCAAGTCTCTGCTCATGGTCTGTTTTGATACCTAGGAACATTGATGTCTCTTTGGACAAGTATGTCTTTACTGTTTTCAAAAATCCTCAAAATAAAGATATAAATTATTATGAATATATTGACCTTTGCTCTTTGTGCCCACAAATCCTTATTCCCATGTTTACAAACTGATTAATATTCTCATCTAGTGAAACTATTACTTTTCTAACTTTCATTATTATGTAAATTTCTGTTTATTTCTATTATAAGAGAGTTTCTCCACATTATTACCTTCACGGTATCTGAGCAAGGGCCTGCTGTAGGATGCATATTCAATTGCCAGCTTTTTTTCTTGTAATGCACGCCCCCTTTTTTGGTACAGGGGATGGAACTCAGGACCTTGTGCTTGAGAGGCAGGTGGCAGCACCACTGAGCTAAATCCCCAGCCCTGATTGTCAGCTTTTATTGGCATTCTTATGCTAATTTAACAAAGCTACTGACTGCCCCAAACAGTGTTCTCTCCAGGAAGTATGGAGTTTAATATTTGCAAACTTCTAAAGCTCCTAAGATTAAATCCCATAGTGCAGAGTGAGGCAAGTAAGCAACTTTTAAATAACTGTAGTGTTCATGCCAAAGTCCAAAATATGCCCTTCTAATGTGCTGTCCATGGATGTTTTTATAAAATAGAATTGGAAATAATATGTGTAATTGTAAACCTTTAAGAATTTCAAGGCCATAGTGTTCAATCTGATTAATTTTTGGAGATTGTCTTTTCATTTTGTGAGAATTGTTCATTAATATTCTCACATCAAGGGTCACTGAAACTCTTTCATGTAAACGGTTCATGCCTTCCTACTCTGATTTGTGTTAAAGAACTAAAGTGCAGTTGAGCAGTAATACCTAGACTCTTTCAAGTTTAGTCTTAATAATTCCAATTTGGAAAAGTGAGAGAATAAATGTATTTTCCTCATGGACTTAAAGAAAAGAGAA